TTTAAAAATAATTTAATTTTTTAATATTATATTAAAAATATTTTTCATAAATTTATTTATATAAAATTATCCCCTGCCCCCCTCTTTTTGTTTATAAGGGTATAAACAAAATAGTAGAAATTCCAAAGAAATGGAATCTGACTGGTACGAGGGGCCTCGGTAGAGTGGCATGGAGCATGGACCACAGCCTGGTGGCATAAAAATCACTTATCCAGTTGATGTGACGGGAACAAGTTTGTGCTAGTCAAGGAGCAGTGCGGGCAAGGGGGAGAGGACTTTTGGTTTCGGTTTTCCCTAACCCTAATTATTATGAGTTTGCTCGAGGCATCTCGAGATCGCCCTTTGATTACGAAAGGATCGGATTTTTTACCTGGATGTGGCCTACGTTCTCTCTCTGTTCTCTATCACACCTTATTAGGACCTCCCTCCGTCATTTTTCGCTGCCTGTGAACATCAATCAGACCCATAAACACCGAACGGTTTTGTATAGTTTCGACGGTTAATATACATAGTAACAAACTCCGTTTTGCATTTCAAGTAATAACATAATTTAGGAATGTTGATGCTTGGAATTCGCAAAGTTCCCACCATTACTCGTTAATTAAATTCGGATTTTTGTTTGAACGGCTTCAATTGTAATTTGTTGAGATGATTAGAAATTTTTGTCAAATCTTAAATATTATTTTTAACTTTAAAAAATTTGAAAAAAAATGAATAATTTGATTAACAATTGATTTTTTTATTTTAAATCTCTAAAACAAGTATTTGGATAAAAAATATCAAATTTTATTAATTATTAAATAATATTTAATATCATATCATCTACAATACAATATTAACATAAACATATTATATAATAAATGACGTGATATTAATAATTTATTTTAAAATAAAAATTTAATAATTTAATTGAACATAATAAATAATAAAAATTTAATTAATTATTTTGTATTAATATAAGAATTTATTTAAACATTTAATTTAAATTAATTTATATATATAAAAACTACACATGCATAAAGATATTAATGCGTTTATGGATGATGTGAAAACAATACGTATGCCACAAGTAGGGTTGTTTTTTCTTGGGAAAGCCTACCTTCACAAGTGAATGCTAGATCATTCATTTCGAATGAAGAAAATTCGGAAAGATGACAAAAAGGGGGTCGAGAATTCCAAATCATTGTAGTTTTCACATATATCTAAAACAAGAGACAAATCTCAAATCGAAGTTCTGTTCGGCGCTATAATATGTTTTTGCTTTTGCAGTTGAAACTTCTATCACCAAGTCGCTTTCCAACACACAAGCAGGAAAGGACGGCTGCGTCCCCAGTTGCGAGCTCCCTCGGTTACAAAGACACGATAGAAAATGTAGGCTTTGTGCATTTTCTTTCTCTTATCTAGTTTCTACTCAGTGGGCGAAATTAAATATTCACCCACCCACTAAGAATCCGCTTGTCTCCGAGTTGCCTGTGTTTGTTTCAAGGTTTAACATTGTCCTTTGTCGGGGTTACACTTGCACCCCGAATAGAAACTCTTGTTGCATCACTTTGCATTGTTATTACCCACTTCCAAGTTTTTTAACTTTTGGGTTGCTTCCAGAAGGTGATGAGGGGTACTTCTATTCTTATCCCTACTCACTCCTCAATTTCACCAGCCAAGCAATGAACAAATGAATTATTATCTCCCCGATAACACATGTTTCTAATGGAATAGCCAACCAGATGCAAAGTGAAACTCTTTAATTTAGGTTTATGGGATTGTTATACGGTGAAGAATATTGCATCAGATCTTTCCTTTAATTGGGAAGCTTAATTTATACTTTGGAGCACATTAGATGTATTTACGGTAATTGATAAGGTCTGACAAGTGGGGAGTTGAAGAATCTTGATAGGAAGGAATACATCTAGCAGGGGAAAATCTGGTGATGGCAGACGGATGATCTTCTATCACAGTCTTTGGTTTCAAGTTGAACAAAATCCCAAACCCCAGAAAGTTACATTTGGCCCTAAAAAAATGCCAACCCCATAAATATTCCATGATAATATACGGAATCAGAACTTCTCTTATGTGCTCTTATAGCCTCCAGGGGAAGATCAGGATGTGAAAGGAACCGTTCCTAAAGGACTTATTACATTATTTTCCATGACAAGATCAAGACTCAAGACGAAAAAGGCTTTTGATGCCTCAAACATTCAACCAACTTATCCAATATGAGTATGAGATGAGAGGTGAATAGGGGAGAAATAGTTTAAGGAAGGAGAAGAAGTGCTCCAATTTGTCAGCGTCCACAAGCTTTGTTGGGAAATACTGGCCTATGAATGGATCCTACTCCTTGACTCCACACACAGGAATTTTTTGTGCTCTCCAATAACCCACATTCAAGTTTGTGCTCTCATCTCATAGAAAAAGGAAAAGTTATGCTCTCGTCATTTTTGTGAAACTTAACAGAGTTTCGTGGATTCTGTTTTAATTATTAAATTATTTTAAAAAATTAAATTAAATTAATTTTTTAATATATTTAATAAAATTTTTATATTTTATTTTAAATTAAATAAATTTTTATAATTAATACGTAATTAATTATTAATAATTAAAATATCAATGATCCTGAATGTAACGTGATAACAAGATCATACAATATCTTTAATATCGATCATTATTAATAAAAAGTTTATTTTTTAATTTTTGAAAATAGAATTTTCATTATTTGAGGGTGCCATAGCTTCCCTTGAAATTATAATAAAAATTCATACGATGGATGCCCACTTTGTTGAATTTGTTTGATTCACATACGCAAAATTCCAACAATAAATCAATATAAAAACTCAACAGTGAAGGCAAAGAAAATAGTAGTATTTTATAAACAGTGAACATCATAAAGCTTAGTCGGCGTTAAAGAAAAATGATGCAGTGACATACCTTAACTTAGTGGTTTGTAACTTTTATAGTAAAACAAAAACTCAAGTCAACCTTTATTATTAAACTCTTAATCATTTTTAATTGAGTAACAGAAAGCGACTATCATATTCGATGTTGTATTCTGACGATGAGGCCAGATTTGAGTGCAATAACGGCGACCAGTCGTAGCAGGCATGGATCATCGCAGTTCGTAGCCCTATACTATATATGCACCAGAGATTTTTCCCAAGAGTTCGGGGTCAACTTTGCAGGTTTGAGATTTGCGTGAGGGAATGGACTTGACAAGCTTAATTACAACTTGGGCTTGATTTTAATGAGCTAAAGAACTATTTGGCTATGTTATAAAGGTCAGGTCAACGCATTTTTCTGATTGAAAATGAGGAATTACTAATATAAATTCAAGTACATATACAGGAGGTCAGGTTGTGGAGGTCAGGTTGTGGTGATATCCACCAGGTCCACAAGGAGGAACAGGATTACACTTTGATGGGCAATGGATGGGTTGGACTTTGAATGATGGGTTCCAGGCCTTGTCTGTAGCAATCAAATTCAGTGTCTTTGCTTAACTGGACCCAACCGCCTGTTGATGCATATCCCAGGTGGTCAAAATTACTTGCTTTGATATCTAGGACTTTTGAGAAAGGACCATCATATTTATTTTTCACTAGCTTGATTTCCTATTGGTGATTCAGCTGTCACTGGTCACCATCCCTTAACTTCACACCCCATCGAGTGCAATTCCTATGAGGTCTAAGGCACGATTATGGGATATATTGATTTAAGACAAGGATGGAAAGTCCCTAACAAAGCAGAATGGATGGCAGGCAAAAGGTTTGGGAAGATATCTAATGTGGATTTGGCTGCCATTACTATAAAGTTAACCCCAACTTTTGGATTTGAGCTTCAGAAATGTTATATTTCCATTGGTACAATGACGTTTTGTAGGCTTAACAAATCCTGTTATATCCTATCCACAGCAAAAAGAAATGCCTAGCACAATCTCCCTGGCAAAATCGGTTTAACCAGCAATCAATCCCCGTCAATGCAAACTAACTATGGCGGGAGAGCTAATATAAATCTAAAAATCAAGTGTCTGGAACAAGATATAAAAGATAAATAATACTAGTACAGACGAATCCTATTCAGGAAACCTTGTCTGTTGGAGTGGGGTGGGGAAGAGAAGTACTGCATCTTCAGGAAAGTGCACATGCAAAAATTTCAAGCACCAGCGCCATGAATGGCAACAAAAATCTAGATGTTTCTGATCCTTATGTTGTTCTAGTTTATAGATCAGAATTCTTTCAAAGAAGGCTCTATACAAAGAACTATTGCTTTTGTTTATGTCATTTCAGTTTGGCAGATACTTTAAATATACAATGAATTTAAGGAGGTGAAAAATCTACAATATCTTTCCTTTTCCATTGCATAAGTTCTTTGATGAAGAATTACCAGTAACTAGCATATTATATCAATTCTTGAATGTAACCTTTTCCTCTCAATTCTCATCCAAGAATTTGTACGATGTGGCATCCTTTTTGGACTTGCGCAAGCTGAGCATAGCCTTGAAAAGACGTTTGCTTTTGCTAGAATATTGTTCCATATCTTTAGCCCTCTCTCTTTCACCCAGGGTGGACAAAGAAATAGCTCTTCGAGGCTCTGAAGGGTACTGTTAACATATCAATGAAAATTGTCTCAAGATCAACTGCTCTCCATTGTTTGCCAAACATTGCAAATGTTAAAAACAAGTATAATCGCACATCAACATGTTGTTGGTGGCAAGAAATTGAATTTGAAATATGCAGACTCAGGAATAGTCCCATAGGCGAGTGATAAGTTCTTGGAGTCTTACCCGTCTTTTATTATTGGGATGGTTTGGAGAGGTTGATCTCTGCATAAGAGATCCAGAACGTGGGAGTGGAAAGTAGCGGGGAGAGGTTGATGGATTCTCTAATTTCAAATAACATAATTGTAATCAGCAAAATGCTTCCAACAGATTAGTGCAACAATTCAGACAGGGTTGAATCCAATGTACAAACATTACCTGCTCTTTGGTTCATTGAGTTGCTTGTGAACAGAAGGGGTCCTTGTCTTGATGAAGGTTGTGGAGAGCGTAAGACAAAGAATTCATCCCTAAATCAGAATGCGAAAATTCGTCATCGTAATGCTAGGATTAGGAACGTAGAAATTAATCCTTGTAATGAACAAAATACTATCAGAATTCAAGATTACCAGGCACTCTCGGAAGGGGTCTCTGCTGCTATTGCTTGAATACCTGCGGGGTGAAAATATGTCATCATAACATCATCAGTTATTTCTTGGTAAGTAAGTTTGACTCTCAACATGATGATGAATGATACCAATTTTCTTGAACTGATGCAAGTCTAGTCTAGCACACATGCTAGTTGGGTGGGATTTCAGGCTGGTCTGAGCAAAATCGTTCAGGGTATCCTCAACTGCAAGAGAAAAAATGATTGATCAGACGATTTCAAACACAATTTTCTGAGTAGTGTTCCAGATTCACTCTTCTTGCAAGCAAATGATGAAGAGTTATAGGTAAATAAATAAACAAATAAGCAGAGAAGAATATACTTGCCTGGAAAGATGTACCGCTTATGGTGCTTGGATGCCTCTAACACCAATGACTGCTGAGAAAGACCCCCTAAGTTGACAAACTCTTGGCATGTTCGCAGTCTCTAACATCCCATCCACCAAAAAGAACAACGTGAAAAAGGAAAATCAATAGGGGTTTTTGAAAGATTTAAATTCATCTAGTAGCCTTCATTTTGTAACCTTTAAGGTCAGCTTTGTTAGAGAAATCCTTAGCATTTGCATATAGTAAGAGAACCCTGAGAAGGTACCTGTTCCAGGCAAGACAAACGAAGCTGCATTCCACAAATTCCACCCATCTTTTCATCCAAAAAATTGTTAACTTTGTATGCTACAGAACCCAAGTGGTCCACAGTATTGACCAAAGCTTTAATGGCATAATCTTTCAAAGTGTCCTCCACTCTGCTCATGTCAAAGAGAAATAAGAGGGGACGATGTTCTAATCTCTTCTTTCTCGTTATCATAACTTTTAAGTGCATGACTTACATTTGTTTCTGCTCTTCTTTGGAGTAGGCTAACTCAAAATATTCCGCTGCAGAATACAGCTGTTTCCTCAGACTCTTCAAATCCTAAAATATTCATGTGGTGAAAGAGTTAAACAGAGTGTATTCATCTTTATTTATAGCATAATTCTAATGGACATGTCAAAGCATAATTGGCAATAAAACTGATCAGCAACGAGAAGTTCAGAATAATTAACCTTAAGAGTATCTGAAAAAAGCAAGCTCTGCTGCATTAAGAGTTCATCACGGTGGGAAGATTCTCGAGGAACAGAAACTGAAGTGGTGGAAGTCATATCTTCCTTGATAGTGGAAACCTGGGTTTTCTCGGGTGTCCAAGTAATCAAAACCAAAAGGTCATTGAAAAACTCTACATAGTCAATCATTAATCCATAGAAACCCATCCAAAATGTCAAAAAGACTTGGAAAACTACACAAAATGGGACAATTAAGTGACAAGAATAAGCACTGAGAGAGTCTGAGACAAAGAGGATTCACCTGGTTTTCTCTTGCTCTCAAAAAAAACAATGGCACTGCAAACTCCAAATCCTCCCGTTCAAGCTCTCTTCTATACACAAAATGTCCAAGATGTTGTAAAGGACGGACAGACCTTTTCCTGACTTTCCGCTAAAAACAAGAGTAGAGAGTGAAATCACTTTAGACAAAAGGCAAAGAAGGCGGTGAAATTACTTGAGACAGGGCTCCAAAAGATATGTAGCAGTAGTATTTTGGTTTAAATGTTTGCCATAAAATAAATAATTGTTGGATGGGGACAAAGATGAATAAGACCGTGATAATAAGGCGGGGAAATCTCAAACGTTCATGCTGGCAGTATTATAAGCTTAGGCAACTCCTCTGAAAGCAACATACCAACAATCTACAACTTTTTTTATCAGTTGCAAAGATGACTTGGCTTCCCTATAGTTAGAGGACAAGGCTTGATTTATCTTTTCTTTAAGAAAAAAAATATATAATCAGCCAAATATCGGCCATGTGGTGTTTGATTAATTTCCAATTTGGTACCCCACTAATTGATGGGGGGGAAAAAGGGGGTAGGAAATTATGTCCTATTCCATATATATCTCTTTTTATGGGACAGAAACTGAGAAAAGTAATGAACAACCTTTCCTGATGAATTTCAGAATTTAATTGGATTGATGGAGTTGGTAGATTGCAAGTAAATGCCTACGAACAGATTCAATATCAGTTACCTCATTTCAGAAGTAACCCTTTAATTTGGTGTATAAATCTCAACACTGCAACAATTTTGGGGGTTTTAAAGACTCACCGGTGAGGTTTAATTCCAATGATGAGCAGTGACTTGGCTCAAATTTTATTATTGCTATCAACTATCTATTTATTTTTGTGGGTGCTTTTTCTGTTCCTTTTCGTTCTTTTTAGTTGTGCAATAAATTTGGTGCTTCGGACTTCATTTTCCTGTCAATTACCATCCCCCATCCGCCAGAAAAGACATTTGACAGGTTTGATAATTTATCATAATTACCGCTAGTGAAGACCTTTCTGTGTAATTCATCGATGCAAATTTTCAAAGTTGTCGAAGGTATGCATAGTCTTGATCTTTCATGGAAACGTCTCATGGTTTGCCCTGGACGGAGGGACAATTAAGTTGAGTCTTGGGACCCCAACTGTTTCATTGTCATGGTAGGGGAAAAAGCAGGAAAGGGGTGAACAAATGTTGCCCTTGACCTGTTCCAGACGCAGGGAGGCCATGGGATGCTGGAAAATTCATTATCCCACGGTTGAATGTTCCAAGTCCATGAGCCGAAGTGATGGATAAGGAAAAGCTACTAGCCCAAGAGGCTCAAGCCCAAGAAAACAAAACAGAGTAGGCGCCAGTCCACTAGCCCCTGTCCTGACTCCTGATGTCTGTGATGAGCCTACCCTCCTTATCCGTCCCCTTTTTATTCTTTCACTCGTCACTGAAACTCCAGCTGAGCTCACATCAGAAAGAGAGCCAATGGCATCCCCGACCTCTTCTCTAACCAAATCCCCGTTTTGTCCCCACCGTCTCACCCAATTCCCGCCTTTGCCGTTCCTCTCCTTCACTCACAGCCTCAAACCAATCCCAACAAAGTCGAAGACCCTGACTTCCCTCAAAAGAGACGACTTCAGAACCGTAACCGTCAAAGCCCAGACCTTGGACTTCTCCGGTTCATTCTTCGAGGGCGGGTTCGGTTCGGACGATGACCCTCCTTCCCAACCCGGGTCCGGTATAACCGCCTTGGAAGACAAAGAGGAACCTCAATGCCCACCGGGGCTACGACAGTACGAGACAATGGTGGTTTTGAGACCCGACATGTCTGAAGACGAAAGGCTCGCTCTTACCCAAAAGTACGAGGAGGTAATGCCTTGTAAAAATTTGTCTTTTCTTTTATTTTTTGTAAAATCTTTGTTTGCTTGCTGAGAAAATATAGGAAAAGGAAAGAATTTTGTTTCGTTGAGGATTGAGAATTGTATGGAATGTAATGGTACATTTGGAACTGTTGTGAAGCTAAAGTCTTAAGCCTCTTAGATTGAAGCAAATTGTATACAATTAAGTAGAAAACAAATGTGAGTTTGCTACATTTTTGTAAAACTTTTCCTTTTAATTTCATTTATCCATTGGAGATTGGAGAGGGGTTAAATGCATTTTTACTATGTATAATTAGAAGCAGGCCATTTCTTGTCTATAGTTAGAAGAGAAACGGTTGGTGACACTTGACATGTTATTGCAAGTTTGTTCTAAAGCTTTTCCTGATGGGGGTCGTCCTGCAGCTTCTTGTCGCTGGGGGTGGCATGTACGTGGAGGTATTTAACAGAGGGGTCGTCCCACTAGCCTACAGCATTAAGAAGAAAAATAAAGCTGGGGAAACTAACACTTACTTGGATGGCATTTACCTCCTCTTTACCTACTTTACGAAACCGGAGTCTATGGCAGCTCTTGAGGTGGCCCTGAAAACAGATGATGATGTTATTCGATCATCCAGCTTCAAGGTAAGAAAGAGGAAGTTTTAGTTTGGTATGTATGCTTTCTGTATCTTTGAGAGGAAGATGATTAGGAAACAAAGAGCTCTATCAACTTTGCGATGTAATTTGTTAATGGATCCTTTTTGTTCCTTGAATATTGGAGTTTGCTTTCTTTTTGTAAAATTTTATGGATCAATGACAACAGAAAGTAAATATGCAAATTGCTAGACTGAGGTGTAAACAATTACTGGGAATTTCTAATCTCATTGGAGGCATATCGAGCAAACTTATTCAACCTTATTTGCAATTTGATGGATTGGCTGTTTGAGGTGCTTGAATGCATGGCATTCTTCCCAACCAAACTGTCTTAGTGAACTTCAAGTGAGTCTAGGAAATTCTAGCATTTTCGGCACACATAATAGTGCGTGATACTAAATACTAACATTAGCTATACTGGGCATTGTTTATTTAGCAATGTTAAAGAGTTGCATGCAATCATGGGCTAATGAGAATGATCGAGCTTGTTAGAGCTCAATTTGCAATTTAGAACAGAGCTTGAAGAAAGTTATCTGAAGGTGGAATTTGTGCTAAGAAGGTATTTGCAGCATACTGACAGAGAAAATAGCTTCCTTGGAGTTGTTATATAGTCTCAACTTGTGTCAATCAACCATGCATTGCATTTCTTCTTGCTCATATTGTTTGAAAGTGCTAGTTCCCCAGAAAATATATAACCCATTGCTGTAGCTGCCCCACCATAGAACACTAAAAATTCCATCTCAGGCAGAAGAAAAGCCCAAAAGAGTACAATACTTAAAGGAGAATAAAAAATGCAAAGGCTCCTAAGTACTGTCATCACTTCAAAATAATGGAAGTTGCAGTATAAAGAGCACCTGCAAGAAATGTTGCAATGATGGTAATTTTGGCAGGCATTTTTCCTTTGTCATTCCTCAAGGCCATGGCTTCATAACTTGGGAAGCAATTTACAACAACACAACCTGCTAGTAACATCTGCAGAAGTAGACCTTTCTCGGTGCTGCCACTGATAACTAAAATTGTTCCCCAGATTAATGAGAATAAGTTGGTTATTGCTGCCATTGTTGGTGGCACAAACAATGGGGATGGGACTCCAAACTCGAACATCCCGTGGCAATTACTTTTGTTTTGTTCATCATCGACCACTTTGTTGGTCACAATGAAGCCATAAGTAGAAAAGCATATGGACTAAATATGGTTAAAAATAATTAATTTTATTTTAATAATTATTTTTAAAATAAGAGACATCAATGACATCTGCTTGCTGACTTTCTAAATTGATGAGATAAATCTCACCTAAATGATAACTAGGAAATGAAAAAGAAAAAGGAGTATCTCAACAGCGTGTCCATGTGAACCAGTTTACCAGTTGCACTGTTCAGTGGCTGTATATCTCAAGGTGGAGCCAGACATCAATGATGAGAAATGAGAGACAGAACATGCTTTTTGGGGTTACTAGCAAATGAAAGCAAGATGAAAGTGAGAGACAAGAAGTGAGCAACCAGATCTATGATTACCTTCAATTTTTGTTTTTTAAATATTGTCATATAAAGCAAAGATTAGAGGGGAAATATTTGATCCAGAAAAGAAAGAAGAAGAAGAAGAAGCTAGCCTAATTAGAGTTATTGCTTGAGAATGAGATTAGCGGAAGTATAAAGAGCCACAGACAGAAATATTGAGATGACTGTAATTTGGGTGGGCATTTTTCCGTTGTCACTCCTCAAGGCAATGGCTCCATAAATTGGCAGGCAATTCAAAGCAATGAACCCTGCCAATACCATCTGCAAAGCGAGGCCTTCCTTGTTGCTGCCATTATCCCAAAACTCTGTCAGTCCCCATGCGAATGAGAATAAGTTGATTATTGCTGCCATTGTCAATGGCACAAACAAGGGGGAGGGGACTCCGAACTCAAAGATGCCTTGGTCGTATCTCTTGCTTTGTTCGTCATCAAGCACCTTGCTTGTTAGGTTAAAACCATGAGTGGAAATCCCTAAGGACTTGAGCAGGTACTCAACTGAACCGAACAAGTAACATGAAAGCCCCCTTATCATCCACATCCTTTGAACATTCCACCACTTCCGGACAGTGCCTCCGGCGAGGACAAAGTCAAGGAAATCTTGCCCATATGCGCCGAGGAAAAGAAAAACATATAAGAAACACCATGGTTCTGATACCTGCAATACGATTTTTTCTTCTTTCTTTCATTTCTGGTTTCAGTAAATAGACTGAATTCAAATAAATAATCATATACAGTTCATCAATGCTCATACCTTTGGGAAGATGCTGACTTTGTTGAGCAGAGCTAGCTGGGGGAGGAAAGAATAGAGGGTGACCGGGATGCACCAAATAGGCCAGAATGCATAGTGAGAATAAGCTAATCCCATCAGAAGGCCCATAGAACGAGAACCGAAGATGAGAGTATTATATTTGGAGAAGGTCACTTCTAAAAGGCCGATGCACCATCTCTTGCATTGACTAAGTAAATCTAAAAGGGTAATTGGCATTTCCCCTAAAAATGCAGCCCTTTCGGGATGGCAGAATAAGCTCTTCCACCCTTCGCACTGGAGCCGATATCCTGTGTAAAAGTCCTCAACCAAAGATCCATATCTAAGCCCATTCTGCATACATATCAAGAAACAATCTTAACATATTGGTTGCAATTTAAAGCTTTTTGATAGACAGTGTTCTGGAGAGTGACTGATGAACTTGCCTTGGAGCCCCAATGGTTGGTTTGGTTCTCATAGTCGCAACCTGCTACATTGTGCGCCAATGACAAAATTTCTCGAGAATTAATGGGGTTGTCTACCTCATGGGCTGGGCTGAGTTCAGGGATTTCGGGCGGCACCAAAGTTGATGGGCCACCGAAGAAAGCTCTCCGGCGAAAGAAGCAGCCCGATCCCAGATAATTTGGACCCATTAGCCCATCCAAACCCATAGTATTAATTTGGAACAGGTGTTTATACTCAGAAGCATAGATATCAGTTTGGTTGAGGCCCTGAAAGCGTTGGGGATATTGAACGTATGCCAATTTTGATTGAAGTGCAGGGTCTGATAGATAACATAGCACCCGGAGAGGAGTTTGGGGATCATTCGAGTACATGTCACAGTCTTGGGTCAAGATTAATGGCGCATTTGTCATAACAGCTGATACTCGTAACTTCCAAACATTCCAAATTTTAAGAGAGAATTAGAAAGCATAAAATAAAAACTAATCAATTGGATAAGATACCAGAATAAGTCGTTAGATCATTTAACCCATACCAGAACATTCAGAGCTCCAGCTTTAAAGTGGTGAGGAGCAGTCTTGCTTTTCTGTCTAGAGACATAAATGAGATTTGGCAAGAAATTGCCTGAAACGTCTCTGTCTTTGCTCTTATCTAAGATAACCTGCCCACAGTTCATGTGCCACCAGTGAATTGACATTGTCAAAGTAGGTACTAGTTAGTACTTTTATTTCTCCTGGATAATTTAATTTATGATTGATTATAGCTCTAATCTTGAATGTAAATCACCTGAACGACAGCAGGATGATCCATACGAGTAAACCCGTCAGTCCATTTACTAAAAGCTTCTCGTTGTTCACTGTCTACAATGTATTCATCACTGATTTCCCCTTTATCAACAATGTGTTCTACCTTCACTTTCATAGTCTCGTACATCATCTGCAATAAGATTAGTATCCAGAAGCGGTATTATCCTGAAGCATTTTGTACATTGAACATCACCCGAATGTTTCTAAATAAGATAAAATTGCTGATGAATTGATTTTAGCATCCGAGAGCAAGTGGATATATAGTAATTTCGCTGATCCATAATTGCAACTTTACAAAAGTTTGTGGCAATCATCAGAGAACACCCAAAAAAGGCATATAGAAACACGCAGCCGCAAAGCCTAGTTAATAAATATATAAAATTATATATATAAATATATATGTGATGTTAGAAATGAAGACAATAAATGTACCGACATCTGGGACTTGGCCCACGCAAGCACAAAAGAAGCCTCGTGTTCAAGTTCTATCTCGTTTGGTATTAAGTTAAAATAAAAAAGCTTTGAAAGAAGTGCCTTGCTATCTATTTCTTGTACAGTTGAAACGATGACCAATATTTTTCTTGGGATTCATGAACAGGTTCATTAATTGTCTAGATACATCTGGTTTAGGCTTCGAGTTTAAGACAAATCCTAATCTTTAATTGGAGTGTTGAATTGACTAAAACAAATGATGTCCGCTAAAAAGATAACATGATAATGTTGGTGGGTATGAAGGGATGAGTTTTGTCGTCTATGGTTAAATTATTGAGTTTTGTCGTCTATGGACCAAAGCAACATATACGAGATAAGTTGCAATAAATATCTGTGTAGGGTTTTAGGTTTTGGGTTGAAGTTAATATAGCTCTCTAACACACACACACTATATATATATATATATATATATATTAATCAATTTTATTACAAATCTGAACTATAAAGTAACCAGAACAAAAAGATTTATGTGAATACCAATTAAGATTTATCTCTTTAGTATCTGGCTTTTTATGGTGAATGGTGACAACCCACGTGGGTAAAGAACTACAGACCATGATTGATAATTAATTATCTATTGCACCAATGGGCTCCTAGATTCCCTTTCCTTCTTCCAATAATTACTATAGTATAATATATTTAGTATTAGGACCTTTTGAAAAACCATGATGAACATTCCAACATATTGATCATGGTAATATATTTTTATAAAATTTGTTTAAAAAAGAATACCAACCTGACCTTTTGTTTTTGTTGATATGGGAATTTAATTTGGATCAAACTTATTAGTCGATCGACCGCTATCATAAGTAAATGAACACCCAAATTAAATTAATTACCAATATAATTTTGTATAAAATTACTTAGGCATGGAATTAAAAAGAGTAGAAACTTATGAAATTGGGTTTTTCAATTTGTTTAGAGAAAATACAGAAGAGAGTGCATGTTTGAGTGAATTAATACCTTAATATTCTCAATCTCAGGGCTCCAGGAATGGTAAGTAGATGCAAAATACACTTCAGGGCTCCTTTCCATTATATTATGTCCCCTGCAAAATGGTAACCAGTGACTGGCAAACTTAGCAGCCTCCATGAAAGCAAAGAGAGTGAAGGATGATCCTCCATCGTCCGATACATAGACCGAAATCTTCTCTGTTGGATAATCATAAGCCATCAACGAGAGGGCTGTGTTCACCACATTCATTGGTGGCTCCTTGTAAGGGTCAGCCGTGCATATGAACACGTCCAACCCTGGAAAATCTTCTTCCTTCATGATTTTTCTGAGGTTTTCGGGGAACTCCTTACGACGAATTGGGCACACTCGGAAAGCTTGTGCGCCGGTCCACATGAAGGCAAGAACGAGATCAGAGATGAGCAAGGAGAGGCTCAAAGAGAAAGAGAGTAAGCTGGTTGCTGAGTGTAGAAGTGTTTGTGCATGGCGATAGAGTAGAGCTATTATAGCACAGGCGTAAACCGCCGCAAAGAGGCGGTTCAAGGCCGTGCGCCTGAGGGGTTCAAACTTGTGAAGAGGAGGAGCATGGGTACCTCGGCCGTCCATAGTTCTTGGCTATATCGATGGATGTTATCAATCTATGAGTTCTCTTGCATTTAGTATACGGTAATAATCAAACTTCCAGTATAACTTATAGGCCATACAAAGGAGAACTATTCAGCATAATACACTTCATATGTGTGGACGCAAAGAGAGCAATTAGCTAGTTTGGTCTATTATATTTAAAGATTATATGAATCAAATCTTTTTAAAAAATTGACTAAATATAAAAAAAATCAAATTAACTAAATATTAAATTAATTAGGTCGAGTTAGGTCGATTTGATTTTGAACTATTAGACTAAAATTTTATCATTTTTTTTTATAAATGATAATATTAAAATTTATAAATTTCATTCATAATTATAAAATATATACATAATTTAAATACAAAAAAAAAACATAACATTTGTTCCTTCACTTACATAATTATGTCTTTTTACATAAATTGTTAAATTAACATTTAAGATTTAACATAACAAAAAAATCAAAAATAATATATTTGTTTTTGAAAATTAAGTCATTCATTCCATTGAGGGAGTCCAAAAACAAACTGAGGAGAGTAAAAGACTGATTGATAGTTACTCTTGACCTTCACAATATAGATAGGTAATAAGAACACCAATATCCCCTCTTGATCCTACAGAGGTAAAAAAATAATAAAATTAATATTTATAAAATAAAATTATCTAACACAAGACCATTAATCATTGCAAATTATCAACTTAAATCTTTTTCATGACTTAACTCTTCACATTCACTTATATAATAAAAGAAGATTAAAAATGAAAAATTATGTAAAAAGTTATCAAAGTTAACATTCACCTCAATTGAAGTGTGAAGAATGAATTTTTAACTTTTTCACTCATCAATAGTCAACAATAAAAATAGAATCCACAATCCCAATCTTTGATATCTTTAAAATGTATAAACAAAAAAGAATTAAAAGAAATAAAAAACTAAGAATTAAAAAAATAAAAATGAAAAAGTGAAAATATTAAATGTGTATTATATTTTAGGTAAATTTAAAAATAATATATATAATATTATATTTATTAATATATATAAAAATTTAATTTGGTTTTTTAGTCAAATTAGTTCAAAAATTTTAAAACCAAGAACCGATCAAAAAATCAATTAGATCATACATTTTGGATTAATTGACTAAATAAATTAATTAGATTGAATCATTTTACTCAAATTGCATTTGATTTAAATGAATAATTAGTTTGATTTGATTTTACTCATCCCTAAATTATTTATAAAATATTGATATTGTTGAAGTTCAAATCACAATTATTTAATGTCAATAATATCTTCACTGTCATCATCTGAGGGGTGACCGAACGTGGGAATGAACTGTGTGGGCTTGCGATTAATCCACTTGCCTTGAAAGTTTGCTTCGAAAGTTCATGAGAGTTTTTTGAACGACAGACTCGCTTGATAGGAACTGATCATAAGCCTCCCATCCAGTAAAATTTGTTCTTACTTTTTAATGTTTCAACTTAATTTGATTCTGAAAAGACCGAAAAAGATTGTATAAACACTGGGAAAAGTTCCATTTAGGATTTGTAAAATGGTGATAGGCATAGTTACTATATATGGATAACTATCAAATCCTGGAACTTTAACCTCTTGTGATAGAAAGAGCATTATAGTTAAAGGAAACACAAGAAAACAGTGTTCCTCTGCTAGCATCATCACTTGAGAATGATAGAAGCTACTGCATAAAGAGCTGATGCCAGAAATGTTGCAGTGATAGTAGTTCTAATAGGCATTTTCCCTTTGTCACTCCTCAAAGCCATGGCTTGGTAGATTGGCAGGCAATTCATCACAATGGACCCTGTAAGGAACAACTGCATAAAAAGCCCTTCCTTATTGCTACAATTGAGGAATTTGACCAGCCCACAGATGAATGAGAATAGGTTAATTATTGCTGCCATTGTTAGTGTTACAAACATGGGTGATGGTACGCCAAACTCAAAACGCCCTTGGTCATATCTTTTGCTCTGCTCATCGTCGATTACCTTGCTGGTCACATTGAAACCCTGAGTGGATATGCCAATGGACTTGAGCAAGAACTCAGTCAGTCCAAACAGGTAACATGAAAGTCCTTTTATCATCCACATTCTCTGATTGCTCCACCATCTCTGGATTGTTCCCCCGCCTAAGACAAAGTCTAAGCAATCTTGCCCGTATGCTCCAAGGAACAGGAACATGTAAAGGAAAAACCATGGTTCCGACACCTGAAAAATTTAGCAACTTCGTTTACGTTCCATCAATTCCATGGCAAAGATTAGTATCCTGTTGTTTGAAACTAATATAAGGAAGCATATGTACCTTTGGGAAGATACTGACTCCATCATGGAGAGCAAGCTGAGGGAGAAAGGAATATGTAGTGACTGGAATTGACAAAGCGGCCCAGAATGCGTAGTATGAATAACCTAGCCCCATCAAGAGCCCCATAGCTTTGACACCATAAGTTATAGTACTGTATCTTGAAAAAGCCACTTCAAGGAGGCCGATTGCCCACCTCTTGTTCTGGCCAAGAGCATCAAGCAGGTTGAAGGGTACATCTCCAAGAAATGCAGCCCTTTCAGGGCAGCAGAATATGGACATCCATCCTTCACATTGCAGCCGGAAACCTGTGTAATAGTCCTCCACCAGTGACCCGTACCTAAATCCAATCTGTACAGATGATTTTTCCACATAAATACAACTATAACCGGCTTTTATCAGCGAAAATGATGGATTAGTTAATTAAATGAGTTTACCTTAGAGCCCCATTTGGTCTGGTCTTCATAGTTGCATCCTGCAACATGGTGTGCCAGTTCAAGAACTGATTGAGCCGTGATGGGCTTGTTTACGACATAATCCGGGCTTAGCTCCTTGATTTCAGGTAGAACCAAAGTTGATGGGCGACCAAAGAAAGCTCGCCGGCGAAAGAAGCAGCCAGTTCCCACATAATTAGGGCCCGATAGACCATCAAAGCCAATAGGATTAAGCTTAAACAAATGTTTATGCTCACAAGCATAAATGTCACTCTTATTGAGCCCATGGAATTCTTGAGGGAACTGAATGTAAGCCAATTTGTTCTGAATCTCAGGGTCTAACACATAACACAGGACACGGATAGGTGTTCCCGGATCATTCGAATACATGTCACAATCTAAGGTTAAGATTAGTGGTGCATTGGTCATGGCAGCCGATGCTCGGAGCTTCAAATTAGAAACACAGGATTGACCATTTAGAGAAGAAGAAGATAAACATAATTAATGGTAAACTTCAAATATTTTGTGAGAGCATATACCAGGACATTAAGGGCACCAGCTTTGAAATGGTGAGGCGATGTCTTGCTCTTCTGCCTGGAAACATAAACCAGGTTTGGCAACCAATGACCTGCAACGTCTGTGTCTTTGTTTTGCTCCAGTAAAACCTGATTGTTATAACACAATTGTAACGTTATAGAAAATGATCAGTTGTTTGACAGTGATTAATTTTGAGCTCAAAGAGAAGCTCAGGAAAGGCAATTGTGTTGCAAAACCTGAATCACAGTGGGGTGATTTTGACGGGTGAATTCATCTGTCCATTTACTCAAAGCGTGACGATCATGGTCGCTGGTTATGTATTCCTCACCAACTTTACCTGTTTCAACAACGTGTTCCACTCTCACTTTCATGCTCTCGTACATTATCTGCAGCAAACATTATCATTTAAGTAATTAGTACTTCAAAATTTTCCAAGAAGTAATTAGTACTATTTCTCTACTTGTGTGGCCTAAGAAAGAAAGTCCAAAAAGAACAGATTTGCGTCGACAGCAGGGTTCGAACCTGCGCGGGCGGTGCCCAACAGATTTCAAGTCTGTCTCCTTAACCACTCGGACATATCGACTGTACATTCATAAGCTGTCCTTTTTCTTTTATAGATGTACAATTTCTGTAAATCGAAATATTAATTTAAAGTGTTATGGTATCCATCTAAGATCGATCATGTACATAGAACCTTCAATATATATATACTTGTAATACTTGCAGCAACTTAGAAATTAAAATCCTAGTAATTAAATTAATTAGAATTATTTGGGATAGGCTTTTATTTGGACGGGTTGTTGTATACGTAGCAAATGCCACTCACCCTCAGCCGCCCTCGGACACAGCTGGTACAAATTGATGTCACCATCTTTATCTTTCTCGTCTCCACTCCATGTATAAACCAGACAGGCCGCCAATTGATTAGTCATTACATCAACATCATTTGTCCTACAACCACCTTGGACAAAATTCCCAGCATTTAGGGAGAAACCACGATTTCTCTCTTCCCTTTTTGGACTTGAAAAATTAAAAAATCCCTAGGATTTTGTATGAATTTGGAATATTTTCTACAAAACAAATATTAATTGCTTGAGTGCTCCCAGAATCCAAAGAGTTTGATTGGAACCTCAGTCGTGGATAAGGTGGCTTTAATTTCTACAGCCAATATGGTTGATAGTTAGTTGTCCGATCAGGTTGTATGACTTGAACCCATGTATCGTGACACAATATCTTTTACAATTGTGTAACTATAAAGATTAAATTTAAAATATAGAAATCAGTCTTTTCAAAATGAATTAGTTAAATCTAGTGATTTAATATTTTAAAGTTACCGGACAGTCAAGGAGAACAATTCTTAGCTAAAGATCGACAGTTTCTTGAATTTAATAACTTAAAGATACTTAATTTTTCAGGTAATTTTTTTTTTATTTCAACTTGTAATTGCGATTAATACTAGAAAATAACGAAATTAAAGATGGTAAATAGTTGTTAGATAGTTAATTAAATGGTTTTAGGAATGGATTTTACCTTAATCTTCTCAGTTTCAGGGGTCCTTGAATAATTCGATGCAAAATATTCATCCGGGCTCCTTTCCACTACGTTGTTCTTCCTACAAAAGGGTAACCAGTGGGCAGCAAACTTAGCAGCTTCCATGAAAGCAAAGAGAGTCAATGCCGATCCTCCATCGTCTGATACATAGACCGAAATCTTCTCCGTTGGATAATCATAGGCCATCACGGACAAGGCCGTGTTCACCACTCTCATTGGGGGCTCCTTCCAAGGATCAGCCGTGCATATGAACACGTCCAAGGCTGGAAAATCACTTCTTTTCATGGCCTTTTCGATGTTTTCAGGGTATTCTTTACGGTAAACAGGACGCATGCGGAAAGCCTGTCCGTTGGCCCACATGAAGGCGAGGATAAGATCGGAGATGAACAACGTTAGGGTTACGTAGAAAGAAACTAGGGTTTTGGAGCAGAGGAGTGTTTGTGCATGGCGATAGAACAGAGCTATGATTGCACACGTGTAAACTGCCGCGAACACACGGTTTAAGCCCACTCGGCGCGAGGGCTTAAGCGTGTGAAGTGGAAGAGCATGGGCGGAGTAGGTGGTGCTGCAACCTCTCAGATGGTGGCCCTCCATGTTTGTTGGCTCACGGGTGTGAAAGTTAAACTGGGGCAGTGTTATTTATAAACCAAGCGGTGAAAATGGATGAATGCTAGTACATGACCCACACGCTTGCGGAAGTCTTTGTCGGAAACAAGAACACGACTCTGTTGAATTCTCTAATTACTCCTTGATATATGTTAACATGCTATTGCTTATACACGTTAATTTCTGTCCAATTCAACAAAAAAAATCTAAAAATTTAAGAAATTTTTCCAAGTGAATAAGAATGAAAGCTAAATTTGTTTTTTAATTTGAGATTCTTATAAATTTAACTAATCTATTAAGCACTTACATTTTTAATCCAAAAATTATACTTATCAAGTGAATATTAATATAAGATTGTAACCTTTTATCTTACACAACTCTGTAACATCTTCGTTATTCTAACTGTTTCACCAAAGAATTCACCTTAATTCTGAATCTCTTATGGGTATTTCATGTTAGTGGATAATACTTAGATTGATTTTGATATCACTTGTTATAAATTAACATTTTCAATTCAAAACACATAGGTGAACGAAAATCCTTATTTATAAATTTTAAATTCATGTTATCTCTTATCGATGTGGAATTCATAATAAATTGACACATAAAATATTTATATATGCATGCTTCAAATTATTGAATTTGAAGTCTATGGTTTTCGTTTAGTAACTGAGATATTACCAATCCAGGTGAAAAATGATCATGAGTCCCCATTTACAGATTTGGAGTAATCATAACTAACAGCAATGGCACCAACAATATATTGATGGTTTTGCCTCCCACGGACCATACTTCCCAAATTTCATGAAAGCTCAGGACACTTGAATGAGACCTGCATGTGACATATATATCTATTAATCAACAAGTAACAGACTAAAGACAATTAAAGATTCATGGATTCTTATTTCTACACTTGCAATCATCGAGTGCTTTGGTATCACATATTACAACCCGCTGTCACCCAAATTGAATGAAGGATGAACAAGACGTTCAGATCACACCAGATGTTTATCACAGAAAAATCCAAAATGGGTTTTTAAAGATTGGCCTCTCAAAATTTGTCATTGAATTTTCTATGTAAATTGATCGGCATATATGTACATCAGGAATTAAGGGAAGCAAAGACTTTAAAATGAGTTCCCCTGATTCCTGGGCATTCATAGTAACAAAACCAGAATAAATATATAAGATGCTTTGATTTTTCTTTCTTGCTTATATATTCGAGCAGCCATTGATAAGTTTCAAGAGTTAGGTAAGAATATCTTGTAGTATCTATCATTGCCTTTATAATTAGTGGTGCAAGATTTCCAAGTTTCTGTCTCATCTCCTATTTTATATGCCAGCGAGTTTTGTAAGGTTCTAATCGCAATACCCCCATGTTCTGCAATTTGACTTGGTCATACTCGTAACATATAGAATTAGACTAAGGAATCTCATATAATCCATCAGGGGATGGAAGATATTTTACTCTATTTCTTCTCAATAGTTTATGACTTCTTCCTATATTTCAATATCAATGGATTTTTCCGCTTATTGCAAAATCTATGATACCTTAATTTTCAAACCCTCTAAATTAACTTGTAGGCATTAGGATGATGAGGTGTGATTCATGGATTCTACAAAATTTTCTTAGCATGCAATCAAACTGATATACCTACCATAGTCCTTTGGACCAAATATACCCACCAGGCAGGGAAAACAAAACTTGGTACTCTAACTTTCTGATCTTTAGATTCGCAGTCAAAAGACTCAAAGCTCTACTATAACTGTGATTTCCCATTAAAAATTGAAACATTACTTTGCCATTGGCGGTCTAGAAACGCTATATCAAGTAGTACTGTCAAAATCATGATATCTCTGGAGCATGGACCGTGATGAAGAGCAGCAATAATGCAATAATTTCTACTCCTACTAGTCAAGCTGAATATTTATAATTATATAAAAATGCTGGAGTCCTGTCAGTGTTGGCATTACTAGTCAACATCGCGTGGCTGACTTGTGTCTGTCATGGAAAATCATCCATCATCCTTTGAGATGCGTCGTGGTGTGTGAGAATGGGAATGCCTGCTCATGCCTCAAGGGTCACGAGGCTACAGCAATCTGGACGAAACAAAAAGTTGTTTGATAAAATATCATTTATGTCCAATTATTTTCATGCATCTGTCTGAATCTCAATATCGTTTTAAGAAGTCACTCTTTTAACTCAAAATTTCACTTGGAACCAACGTGAAGAATGTCTTGGAACATTTCAAAGTTGGTGGGTATTATGTTATCTGATTACTGGCAGAGCATCCTTGAGTTGAGTTATTGTCAAAGAAACAGGGGGAAACATATGGGCATCGTGGGATTCATTCCAAACGGGAACATAACCTTGGGCCGCTCTGTTTTGCGGGCCAAACAGCCCAGGATCGATGAGAGAGCAGGTGATGTGAGAGGTTTCCAACCCAACCAAAGGATATCTTCCTCCGTCTCAAGAAAAATGGGAAACATTTATTGCTCGTACACAGCGTTTTCAGCCAACATTTTCCCACACGTTGGACCACATAAGACATAAATATTTATATTAGAATCTAATGAAACTCTAGCCAATTTATAGGATTTTGTCATCAGCTCACAAGATGCCAAGGATGTCAGGCCTCCTGATATCCTAATCCGTGCTATCCTTCTAAAGATCAGAATACAGAAATTTTTATGAATGCAAAATAGTTGTTGGACTATTGATTAATAAACCAAACCAGCGAGGCTAATGATGGCAGCGCCATAAGCGCCAAGCAAGTAAATTTCTCTTTCACGCACTAAAAGACCAGGATTAAACTGCCAGAGCACGTTTTATATTTACATATTACAAGCACAGGAAGCCCAGATTTGAACCCCCCCAACCCACCATAAAGATCGTAAGTATTCACATTTTCCTAGTCCTACCCTCTAACCTGAACCCGACTAATTCGTTAAGAATTCTTGGTTCTTCAAACCCAGATAATGTCTTTTAGTCTCCTATGGTAGGCAGCTCTAAAAAACGAGCTAGTGATTAGCGTCCCTTAACCTTAACATCCTGCACAGCCCAAATGTAGCACAAAAAAGCCTACTACCGGCAAACAAACAACCAACAGGGTACTAAACGGGGGAAAAAAAAGGTTCCTATTTCAGTTTTCGGCTGAGTCTGAGCTTATCACAGTCCCTTCAACTTCAATAGAAGCCATGGGAAGTTTGCTTCCTGTACTCATCTTTTTCACATCCTGGCTTGAACAGATAAATATTCTTCTGACCATGTTACAAAATTCCCTGGCATTAATGTAAAATCAAAGCCAATAAGCTAAGTTTCTAGAATAGATTTTAAAAGGAATAGGAAAAAAAGCGCATCAGGTTACTTACAGCCATGGGTCATCACCTACAAGCATCATATCCCCTTCATCATCAGTGTAGACAATCTCCCATTTATTCCGAGGGCGAAGCCCTCCCTTGATATCAAACATCTCCTCTAATTCATCTATAAGCTGATCATACCCTTCCAACATGGTCAAGTCCACAGCACGACCAACAGCTACCCCCTGCATCTGAACCTGTTCCCATATACAAACCACCAAAAAGAGTTTAATCGAAATTTTTCAGAGAAGCAAATAATACTTCATTGAATGAATTAACATTTGCATGAACATTTCACTGCCAATACCTTGGTACGACTTCTAGTAGAACTAGAACAACTTTGCCTGCTCTGGATCTCTTTTGCTGATACCTGTAATTGTTCCTGCTTCTTCTCTTTAGAATCTTTTGAAATTTCGGATTTCTGGTCTGAACCAGCAGGTGACAGGGAACTTGGGCCGTGTCCTTCAGTGCTACCACCAGTCATAGTAGAAAGTTGTGTTGGTGTCCTCTCCAATGGAGTTGAGCTCGCAGAGTGGTTAATCAGCTCAATACCAAACAATCGGCAACTAGAAGCTGTCTCAAATTTCTTCACCTTTTCAATTGGATCAAAGGTTGAATCGTTTTTCAGTTGTGGTTTTGAAAAGCCTGAAAGAACAGGCCAACCAGATACACTTTTGCTATCCTCTCTTCCATCAGGAAACAGATGCTGAGAAACACTCATGCCTGGAGAAGATAGCCAACTCCCTTCATTCTGAGCCTTTGAGATAGACCCACAACTGCTATTCATATCTGTCTGCATGTGATGCCACAAGACATGATTTTCATTTCTTTTTGCTTCAGCCGTAACGTTACGCCGTGCTAGATCATGGGAATGCATCACTCCAGAATTCCATGGAGCTGATGCTGTTGAAGACAAATCTATATTATTCCAACAAAGTGGGTATGTCATATATAACAAAAATAGTGTCACAGATGAGGAACCAAACAAGAAAAATGTCTTACCTAGAGCAGGAATTTCAGTGGGTGGACGAGGCCTTTTGTTCTTAGCTGCAAGCGGTTGACCCAGAGTTGGTGGCATGGGAGCAGCAAAGGGTTCTATCTCCCATGGTGAAACCCTGTCAGGTCTTGGAATTGAGGCAGGTTCATCCCATTGTACCTGTTGACAAGCAATGAGTACACATATGCAGACTAAACATTTAAATAAAAGTTGAAGGGAGCATGTATGCAGAACTTACCTTCAATGATCGCCATTTTGAGTCTTTCCAGTGAGGAGAAAAGTCTTCAACACCAACAATTGTGCCAGAAAACCTTATCAAGCAAGGTATGTTGAGTAAGTATCTGCAGAAGCAATCAAACATTCACCAAATCCAAAGCAATCATGCAGTTAAGTTCCACTACCTTCTCTCAGGAGAATCCTCCCCTTCAAACCTCATCTTAAATCTCATGCCAACTGCAAACTTGTTATTAAGAGCCTCTAAATATCTGTTCAACCCAATGATGAACTGACTTGTCCTGTTATTTTACACAAGACAATTATAAGCAAAGAAATATCATTTTCAGCTCATTTTTGGCAGATCTGTAATATATCATACCTTGGCTTATAGTAGACAACAAAGAGGGTTTGCGTTGAAACAGCATGAGATGCAGTTGCAAGCACTCCTAAGTGC